GATTTGCCACTTTGTTTGCATTTTAATTGCAAAAAGAGCGATATGTATCGTATTTGTAGAAAAAAACAGTTGCCTAACTTTTATGTTGACATGTTTTGTTCTTGGGCTGAATTAAAATATATTGATAAAGTAACAGATATTGAAAATGAAATGATTTGGTAATCAAAAGAAATTCGATACAAACGAAGTTACAAAAGTTACAAAAATGTTTTCATTATTTTAGTTAGTGATTATGTCACATTAGTTTCATGTTCTGTACTATGTATGATATGTTACAACTGCATGAATTTTGTATTTAAACACTGTTGTAAATAGCTGTTATTTTATGATATGAACAAATAAAGTCCCTCGAAAGAGGATAAATAGAAAAAAAAAATAATGGTTCAAGTAATTTGTGTTTATAACATATGATTTATATGACATCTTACTTAAATGTGTGTTGTGAGAATTATGAGGATTGTGATTTGACAACATGGCAAGTCCATTTTCCACCCTCTCCACCACCATCAGAGGGCAAACTTTGAATGCAGTGTTTTACTGAATCGGGTTACCCTCAATTTTAAATAAAACTTGAAAAAATAACAAAATATATACCACTTCGACCATTAAGTTTATATACATGCAGTCATCGGTACAACCATATTGTATACACTGGGGAAAGAGTAAGATATTAATTTGTATTTTTTTTTCCAAAGTTGGCATAAAATGCAGTTCTCCAAAGTGTGATCTCTCTCTCTTGACATTGAGTGATTTCAAGTTGGGTGTTAGCAGGGGCGTAAATCCCGGGGGGGATGGGGGGGGGGCTGCATCCCCCCCCCCCCCCTGGCTTGAAGTAGGGGGGTGGCCTGTACAATCATCCCCCCTGATATTACAAAAAAAAGAGAGAAAAAAAAGGAAGAAGAAGAAGAAAAAAATGTGATTGTTTTCAATTTTAGCATAATGCATGAGAAATTTTATGTATGTAAAACTGTAAAGCCTACACGTATACAGTATGTCACGATCATTAAGAGTAGTTGCGCGACGTGCGCGAACAAGCACTTCATAAACTTCAGAATAATATTTCGTGATTTTGCAAGGTATTATTATAGCCCAGACGTAAAGCGCGCCAGCGCTTAAAAAAGTGCCTTCATGTACAGTAGATGCCCGGCTCCCCCCCCCCACTTAGTGTTATTTAGGGAACGCGTACGCTCGTTCCCTCCCTTTGGAAGCACCCCCACCCTATCTCAGGACTGCCAACATTTCTGAATCCCCCTTTTGCCGGCTTTTCGCTAGCTTTTCCTACCTTGGAGACCCCCCCCCCCAAAAAAAAAAAAAAAAAAAAAAAAAAAATCCGGAACACTGCTAAATGTACCACCCCCCCCCCCAATTTCAGGTGAGCTCTAGTCGATCAAGGGGGACTGGGGGCCAATGCTTCTACTTTTCAAAATGAAATAATCCTGAATGAGCTTTCAAAGCTAGCAGGAATTTCAGGAATTTGATCCCGGGATTTGATCAATTTTTCTATGATATTCAAAATATATTATTACCTCCTTTTTACATTTATCAGGAGTCCAAAGAGAAAGAGAAAAAAACCAACCCCCTTTTTAAAGAAATTAAGAGTCGAGAATGGTACAACGAATCGTCTTCTTTCTCTAATGATTTAATGAAACGTAAAAGCTTCCGCGCTTCGCGCGGGAGGGAAGGGGGGGGGGGAAGGAAAAAACTGAATTCAGATGAGGATTAAAAGTCGAGAACGGTACTACGAATAGTCTTCTTTCTCTAATGATTAAATAAAACGTAATAGCTTCCGCGCTTCGCGCGGGAAGAAGGGGGGGGGGGAAGGGAAAAACTGAATTCAGATGAGGATTAAAAGTCGAGAACGGTACTACGAATAGTCTTCTTTCTCTAATGATTTAATGAAACGTAATAGCTTCCGCGCTTCGCGCGGGAAGAAGGGGGGGGGGAAGGAAAAAACTGAATTCAGATGAGGATTAGAAGTCGAGAACGGTACAACGAATCGTCTTCTTTCTCTAATGATTTAATGAAACGTAAAAGCTTCCGCGCTTCGCGCGGGAGAGGAGGGGGAACTGAATTCAGATGAGGATTAGAAGTCGAGAACGGTACAACGAATAGTCTTCTTTCTCTAATGATTTAATGAAACGTAATAGCTTCCGCGCTTCGCGCGGGAAGAAGGGGGGGGGGGGAAGGAAAAAACTGAATTCAGATGAGGATTAGAAGTCGAGAACGGTACAACGAATAGTCTTCTTTCTCTAATGATTTAATGAAACGTAATAGCTTCCGCGCTTCGCGCGGGAAGAAGGGGGGGGAAGGAAAAAACTGAATTCAGATGAGGATTAGAAGTCGAGAACGGTACAACGAATCGTCTTCTTTCTCTAATGATTTAATGAAACGTAAAAGCTTCCGCGCTTCGCGCGGGAGAGGAGGGGGAACTGAATTCAGACGAGGATTAAGAGTCGAGAACGGTACAACGAATCGTCTTCTTTCTCTAATGATTTAATGAAACGTAATAGCTTCCGCGCTTCGCGCGGGAGGGAAGGGGGGAGGGAAAAACTGAATTCAGATAAGGATTAAAAGTCGAGAACGGTACAACGAATCGTCTTCTTTCTCTAATGATTTAATGAAACGTAATAGCTTCCGCGCTTCGCGCGGGAGGAAGGGGGGGGGAGGAAAAAACTGAATTCAGATGAGGATTAAAAGTCGAGAACGGTACAACGAATCGTCTTCTTTCTCTAATGATTTCATGAAACGTATAAGCTTCCGCGCTCCGCGCGGGAGGGGAGGGGGAACTGAATTCAGACGAGGATTAAAAGTCGAGAACGGTACAACGAATCGTCTTCTTTCTTCAATGATTTCATGAAACGTAAAAGCTTCCGCGCTCCGTGCGGGAGGAGGGAGGAAGGGGGTGGAAAAAACTGAATTCAGATGAGGATTAAAAGTCGAGAACGGTACAACGAATCGTCTTCTTTCTCTAATGATTTAATGAAACGTAAAAGCTTCCGCGGTAAGAAGGGGGGAAGAAAAAAACTGAATTCAGATGAGGATTAGAAGTCGAGAACGGTACAACAAATCGTCTTCTTTCTCTAATGGTTTAATGAAACGTAAAGCTTCCGCGCTTCGCGCGGGAGAAGAGGGGGAACTGAATTCAGACGAGGATTAAGAGTCGAGAACGGAACAACGAATCGTCTTCTTTCTCTAATGATTTCATGAAACGTAATAGCTTCCGCGCTTCGCGCGGGAGGAAGGGGGGGGGGGGGGGCCCTTACAAAAAAAATCTCTATGGTACACTATACAAACACCATAGCAAATCTACCATAGATTACCATACAAACACCATAGCAAATCTACCATAGATCTACCATTAATTTACCATAGAACTAATTAAAATAATTGGGACAAATTTATTCATTTATTCAAATTAGGCCACACCTACATATTCTACCATAGAGCCACCATTCATATACCATAGAGCCACCATAGAGTCATCATTCATTTACCATAGAGCCATCATTCATCTACCATAGAGCCACCATTCATCTACCATAAAACCACCATTCATCTACCACAGAGCCACCATTCATCTACCATAGAGCCACCATTCATCTACCATATAGCCATCATTCATCTACCATAGAGCCACCATTCATCTACCATAAAGCCACCATTCATCTACTAAAGAGCCACCATTCATCTACCATAAAGGCACCATTCATCTACCATAGAGCCACCATTCATCTACCATAGAGCCACCATTCATCTACCATAGAGCCACCATTCATCTACCATAGAGCCACCATTCATCTACCATAGAGCCACCATTCATCTACCATAGAGCCACCATTCATCTACCATAGAGTCACCACTCATCTACCATAGAGCCGCCATTCATCTACCATAGAGTCACCACTCATCTACCATAGAGCCACCATTCATCTACCATAGAGCCACCACTCATCTACCATAGAGCCACCATTCATCTACCATAGAGCCACCATTCATCTACCATAGAGCCACCATTCATCTACCATAGAGTCACCATTCATCTACCGTAGAGCCACCATTTATCTACCATAGAGCCACCATTCATCTACCATAGAGCCACCATTCATCTACCATAGAGCCACCATTCATCTACCATTCACTACCATTCAAAATACGCAACAAAATGTTAAGCTTAATTGTAGCATTTTGAAATGGTATATTCAGAATGGTAGTTTGGATCTTGATCTATGGTTAGCAGAATGGTGGCTGTAGTGCGTTCTATAGTACACAGAATGGTGACTATAATATATTGAATTTTTGAGAAATCTAAACTTAAATGTTAACTTACAATACACACATGATGCTTATTAAAAAAATGAATTGAATGAAAGTGGCAGGATGTATTTGGTTTATATCAAAAGTTGTATGCATGTACATATGCTAAAAACTAAAATAAAAGGCAAGTAAAAAATATATCACATAAACATGTACACTACAAACTAAAATGAAAGGCAAGTTCGTAATTGCAACACATATTACTTGGACTTATTCTACTAAGATGTAATAAATACCCACATATATATCACCCTAGTTCCTCTAAATAATCGGCAAGTTAAAAAGAAACAACTGAAATGTCACATACAGTGTGTACGTAAACATGACTAAAATGAAAGGCAAGTTAAAAATATATAAACATGTACAATAAAAACTAAGGCACTGAGTTGCAGCACAGGATTGTTCTAAAACATTGTATAAACATGTACAATAAAAACTCAAATGAAAGGCAAGTTCATAATTGCAACACATATTACTTGGACTTATTCTACTAAGGTGTAATAAATACCCCCATATATATCACCCTAGTTCCTCTAAATAACTAAAATGTCATATATAGTGTGTATGTAAACATGACTAAAATGAAAGGCAAGTTAAAAATATATAAACATGTACAATAAAAACTGAGGCACTGAGTTGCAGCACAGAAATGTTCAAAAACATTGTATAAACATGTACAATGAAGTTCAAGTCAAAGAGGTTGTATATGTGAGTTCGAAGAGGAGCAGAAAATACAAGCCTTGCTGCTCATTTTTGGAGTCTCTGAAGGCGATCAAGGTCCCTCTGGCTGAGAATACTGAAGACCCAACCCTTTCTATACTCAAACTGTTTACATGATTTTGATAGACCTTCTGTGTCAAACAATCTCCCCTGTATCGATCGGTATCACTACCCCCACCCCATGTTCCATCGTAGGGCACTGCCACGTCCACATGATCATTTTCCCTGATGGTCAGATCCTTGTCCATGGCCCTTTGACGTAGGCATGCTGCCACCTTCTTCTTCTGATTCTTACTGGTCTGCAAAAAAAAAAAGAGTTTGTAATAAATAACAAGTAAATTTCAAGTTCCCTCAGGCCCCTTACTTATTAGACCCTATTACAAATATTTAGATTTGATTAATTTTCATCCCTTGATTTGACAAGAAGGGATATTGATGTACATGTATTATACTGTCTATCGACCATAACTAAGAAATAAAAATATGTTTGGATTAAATGTACGTACAGCTAAGATAATGTAATGAAGAAAACACAAGGCTGGTGACTAACCTCTTGGGATAAGGAAGATAAAGTGGCTATGTGCCTGTTGTAGCTAGGGGCTTCGACTAGTGGGGCTGTTTCGAGGATGGTCAGCAAGTCGCACAAGCTATTCCGTGCCAAACCAACCTCCGTTGCTGCCAGAGTAGCTCTGCGGTTTATTTCTGCAGACTTTCCACGTCCTTCGCATTCATTTTCTGATGAAGAGAATGTCCTCTCCTTCTTGCAAATGAAGCAACCAAGGACCATGGCGCAGTTCAACCCATTCCTCTTTGACAAATTCTCCAGAGGAATGAGATGCCCTGTAAAAGATATCCAAAACACTTTATGGAACAGGGAAAATATTTTGAAAAGCACAATCCCCAAATAATAACAAAGTGCTAGTTATGACATACATGTAGTATATTACACAAATACACATTTTCACAGATTTCACGACAATTCCGATGCCCCCACTTCGATTCACCATAGAGTAAAGGAGGGGTTTTTCGGCCACTTAAGACAAAATCCTATTTTTTGGACTCTTTACTTCCTATTTATTATCATTTCTTGTTCAAATCATGAAGCAAATACTATTATTATTTAAACAAAGAAAGAATACCAGAAAAAAAATCATGAATTGCCATGACAACATTCATTTCAATTTTCACTGTTTCGGAGGTAGTTTTCGGCCTAGCGAGGCAGTTTTCGGCCGCATGTACAAAGTCAATAGGAAGCAAGCAAGCGCGCCATGCATTTCCCCACTGATCTATAGCACTAGAGGCCGGAGCAGGTATCCCAAGCCGGAAAACTATCTCTGCGGTGATCAGAAATTGGAATCTGAATTAGACAGAGATATCGTGTGTGCGCTGCGGTATCCGGCTGCATTGATTAAATACATGCGATGAGATACTTTTGAGCTTGCGACTCACACAAAATCGGACTCTAAATCTGAAAAATACTTGAAATAAAGCTCATTTTATGGTACCCATATTCCTTACACGCTTAAGATACCTAATTTTTCAGATTCGGGGAGCGGGACCGCCGATTACATCGCTAAAATGTGATATTTTAGGACATATTTTCCATTGCAAATGTGGTTCTTCAGTGACTCTGGCATGGTATGGCCATGTGTGGGATATATGATATGCTGTTATGCGATGGATTTTACAGGGATTTTACCATGCATCCAACGGATCGGCCGAAAACTGGTGATGGTCGATTACCCCCTCCTTTACTCTATTCTTAATCATTTGATTTGGCTTTTTGAGCCATTCACCCCTTGAGCATGCAATACAATCTCAAAGTAACAGTTTGCAAACTAAAAATATTGTTTGATAGTAAGTACATACCTCCCAGACACACGTGAGCCTTTTGCAAAGCAGCTGCAAGTTGTGGGCCACTAATGACGCGGATCTTCACATGTGGGACCAGGGCCAAAAATAGGGCTGTCCAAACACTTATTCAGGGAAAGCTTCCTCGATCTCTGAATTAGCTTTTAGTTCTTCTGGCACCTCTCCAGCATTCATGTTACTCTTCTGTAATATCTGGTAATGATCTCCTTTGAACACCTTCCTCTTCCTCACATATTTTGGAGTTTTGCGAAGCATTTTCAGTGAGTAGAAATTGGAGACCAACGGCTAGAAGAGTTATTCAAATCTTGGGCACAAGGTGGCAGCAAACAGCCCTTGTTATCTACTTTCTGCTGATATACATTACTTGTTACAATTTGGTTTAGAATTTTTTATTTAATGATTTCTTTAATTGATTGAGACTAATTGAGTGCAAACAGAGGCAGTGGAGCGACTTCCTAAGTGGGGGGGGGGGGGGGTGCCGGGGGGGGGCACCAACAAAAAGGGCACTTTCTGGAGAAAATAAATAGGGCACCTACAAAGGGAAATCTCACAGCGAAAATATATATTTAAAAAAAACACATTTGTATATACCCCCTATATTGTGATTAGATTATCAGGGATGATTTCAATATTTTTTTTATCTTTATAAATAAGATTTGTGAGGTCGCAGTGCGAAAAATTACATCAATTATAAAGAAGAAAAACCCAATCCTGATGGGTTTATTACATTATCATAACAGAAGACTGAAAAGACCTTTGATAAGTACCATAATTATAACATCTAGAAATGCGGGTGTGCTTTGGGTGATATTGCTCTTAGTAGCTGGAAATTAGGGGCACGTGATGAGAGGAAAAGGGGACACTTATCGAAAAGGGTGACACTTATTAGAAAAAAAAAGGAGCACATGTCAAATTACAACGGGTAATTATCAGAAGGTGAAAATGGGGCACGTACGTATCATTGTTAAAGGGTAATTATCTGAGGTGAAAAGAAAAGGGGCACTTATGAGAATGAAAAAGGGGCACTAATAATAAGGGGAAATGTTGATTTGTTGTACGAAAAGGGGCACCGATCAGTTTTTAATAGGGGCATTTAATACGAGGGGAAGGGGGGGATTTATGAGAAGGGGGAAGTGCAGGCTATTATTAAAAAGAAAAGAGGCACATGTCAAGATAAACGGGGCACTTATGAGAGATGAAAAGGGGGTAATTATGGGTAGGGGATGGGGCACTTATAAAAGAAGGAAAAAGAGCATTTATTAGGAAGGGAAGGGGGCATTTATGATAAAGGGAAGGGGCTCTCTTTTATGGGGCAAAATAAAAGGGGCAGTTATTGAAGATGAAAAGAGCACTTATCAGGAGGAAAAGGGACACTTGTCAAAAATAAAACGAGTACCTCTCAGAATTTAATAGGGTCATTTACTAGAGATGGAATGGGACTATGAGAATGAAGAGGGACTTAAGAATGAAAAGTAACTGTTTTCAAAGATGGAAAGGGGGCATTTATGATAAAGGGAAGGGGCTCTCTTTTAAATGGGGGCACTTGTTAGAAAGGAAAGGGGGCACATGTGAAAATATAAGGTGCGCTTATCCGAGTTAAACAAGGGGTAGTTATTAAAAGGGGAAAGGCCCCTCTCAGATTTGAATAGGGAAATTATCAGAGGTGAATGGGGCACTTATCAAAAGTGAAAAGGGGCACTTCTCGTATCTTAAAAGGGGCACTTATTAGATATGGAAAAAGGGCACTTATGAGAATGGAAAATGGACACTTATTGCAAAGGAAAACCGGAACTTATCGAAGGAAAAGGGGCACTTTAAACAAAATAATAGGGGCACTTTTTAAAGTAAAGGGGCCCTTTTTATGTAAAAAGTGCCACGTTAGAGCCACCATGGGGTCACTAACCACTAGAAATATATCATAAAGTCATCATCTACCATAGAGCTACTGCTAAAATATCTTACACCACAGGGATATACCATTCAACGGAAATACCATATAATATACTCTACCATATATCATACCATAGAAATACCATACACCATACCCCGCACCATACAGCCACCATAGAGCTACCATAGATCTACCATTCACTTTAGAGCCACCATAGAGTCACTAACCACCATTAATGTACCATAAAGTCATCATCCACCATAGAGCTACCACTGAAATATCCTCCACCATAGGGATACCATTCAACAGAAATACCATAGAAATATATTCTACCATATAACATACCGTAGAAATACCATACACCATACAGCCACCATAGAGCTACCATAGATCTACCATTCACTTTAGAGCCACCATAGAGTCACATAACCACCATAGATATACCATAAAGTCATCATCCACCATAGAGCTACCACTGAAATATCCTCCACCATAGGGATACCATTCAACAGAAATACCATAGAAATATATTCTACCATATAACATACCGTAGAAATACCATACACCATACAGCCACCATAGAGCTACCATAGATCTACCATTCACTTTAGAGCCACCATAGAGTCACATAACCACCATAGATATACCATAAAGTCATCATCCACCATAGAGCTACCACTGAAATATCCTCCACCATAGGGATACCATTCAACAGAAATACCATAGAAATATATTCTACCATATAACATACCGTAGAAATACCATACACCATACAGCCACCATAGAGCTACCATAGATCTACCATTCACTTTAGAGCCACCATAGAGTCACATAACCACCATAGATATACCATAAAGTCATCATCCACCATAGAGCTACCACTGAAATATCCTCCACCATAGGGATACCATTCAACAGAAATACCATAGAAATATAGTCTACCATATAATATATCATAGAAATACCATACACCATAGGACGGCATCAATGATATACCATTGACCATAGAACTCCACCATTCAGCAATTGTGTGGTATACCATAGAAATATATTCTACCATATAATATATCATAAAAATACCATTCACCATAGAGCCGTACCATAGGAATATCATAGATTTTTTTTGTAAGGGGGGGGGGGGAGGAAAAACTGAATTCAGTTGAGGATTAAAAGTCGAGAACGGTACAACGAATCGTCTTCTTTCTCTAATGATTTAATGAAACGTAAAAGCTTCCGCGCTTCGCGCGGGAGGGAAGGGGGGAAGGAAAAACTGAATTCAGATAAGGATTAAAAGTCGAGAACGGTACAACGAATCGTCTTCTTTCTCTAATGATTTAATGAAACGTAATAGCTTCCGCGCTTCGCGCGGGAGGAAGGGGGGGGGGGAACCTGAATTCAGATGAGGATTAAAAGTCGAGAACGGTATAACGAATCGTCTACTTTCTCTAATGATTTAATGAAACGTAAAAGCTTCCGCGCTTCGCGCGGGAGGGAAGGGGGGAAGAAAAAACTGAATTCAGATAAGGATTAAAAGTCGAGAATGGTACAACGAATCGTCTTCTTTCTCTAATGATTTAAAGAAACGTAAAAGCTTCCGCGCTCCGCGCGGGAGGTGGGGGGGGGGGGGGGGGACTGAATTCAGACGAGGATTAAGAGTCGAGAACGGTACAACGAATCGTCTTCTTTCTCTAATGATTTAATGAAACGTAAAAGCTTCCGCGCTCCGCGCGGGAGGTGGGGGGGGGGGGGGGGGGGGGGGGGGGACTGAATTCAGATGAGGATTAAGAGTCGAGAACGGTACAACGAATCGTCTTCTTTCTCTAATGATTTCATGAAACGTAAAAGCTTCCGCGCTCCGCGCGGGAGGGGGGGGGGGAACTGAATTTAGACGAGGATTATTTTCGAAAACGGTAAAAGGAATCGTCTTCTTTCTCTAATATTGTTTGTTCTTTGTTCGTTTGTGTGTGTGCGTGTGTGCGTGTGCGTTTACGTGTGTGTGTGTGTGTGTGTGTTGTGTGTTTGTGCGTGCGCGATAGCGCGCGCTTGCGTAAATTAGTGTGGGCGTGTGCACGTGCTAGTATGTGATGGCTATCGCCGATCATCCCCCCCCCCACTCCTCGGTACGGATTTACGCCCCTGGCTGTTAGTGTTAAGAGCAGTCAAGAGCTCTTAAATCAAGCTAAAAATCTGCTGATGAAATTAAGAGCCCGATACCGATATTAACATCGATAGCTTAACACCACTGTGACGTCATCGTGATCGCCACACAGCCTTGATTTCACGACGATGATTTCAAAATAGTACCTCAAATCTAAAGATATCATGAAAAGCTGCACAGAATAATGTACACTTATTTCTCCGTTCTTATAAAACAACTCATTTCACACAAAAGAATATATGAATCACATAGTAAAGGACCTGTTTCACATTTTTGTATTTGATTGTCAGACAATAAATTAGCATCGTTCGTAGAATGACTGTTGTGCGGGTACAACACTAACACCGAACTGGAAATGAACATTTGCTTAATCCCTAGCCACACAGGTCGGTTCAGCAGACGACAATTGTGCAAAATCGTTATCAATAGTTACCGGAAGTTGACGATATTCAGAGGTCAAAGCTTTAACACCAGCTGATTTCCATTTCGGTGTTAGAGCTTGTGTTAGTGTTTATTAAACACTAACACCAGCCCTAAACACCCAGCTTGAAATCACTCATTGCGTATCAAGTACAAAGGATACACAAATTCGGTAGCTAATACAGGTATATCTAAAACGCATCATTTAATGTGACCTTAAAATCTATCCTATCGCAAGAGTGACTTGTTTCTGTCTAATATACCCTATTCATTTTTTCCTGACACGGATGACTGAGCACTAGTGAGTTTTTTAAATTCGTTATTTTCAAATGGTACCTTTAGTAAATACATTTAAGAAAAGTGAAAAGTAAGAGGACACTTTTTTTTTTTTTTTGTTATCGAAATTTGAAAATTTGATATTTTGCTCCGTTAGGGGGGGGGGGGTAAGGTCATCTTTTTGAGGTCGGCCATGGGAATTTTTTTTTTTTTTTTTTTTTTTTTTAATTAAAAAAAAAAAAAAAAAAAAAAAAGGGGGGGGGGGGGTTTAGGGAAATTTAGGGGGGTTTACACACAAAAAATTACCAAAGGGGGGGGGGGGTTTAAGCCCCCAACCCCCCCCCCCCCCCTCCCCTCCCTGTGTACGCGCCTGGGCGTACCCACTACAAGCTATGCTTTTCGGGTTTCGCGTCGTCTTCCTTGTAATACAAGTTCTTTAATTATATTTATGTTCCTACTTATAAATTGTATTGTTTGGAAGAAAATAAAACTTCATTTGAATTGAATTGAATTGAAAGAGTCATGGACGATTACGTTCGCATACAAGACAAGCAATGACAATGTATATTTTACAAAGCGCATTGACAAACCTGATAAACATGATTAATAACAAAGAGCTTTAGGCCCATGACGTTTGCAGTAATTTGTTTCGGTGTAGTTCTCTCATTACAGTCCCTATACGCCTACAGCTAGCATGGATCGACCAAAACAAAATCAATGACAGGCATTTTCTTCAGAATGGAAGGAATTTGAAACCTATGTATTTAACTTTTTGATTTTGCTCTTTCAGAGTGGAGTTTTAAGACTGCGTTTAGATTCTAGTCTTGAATAAATACTGTATGTTCATTCGTGTCTCGAATAAGACTAACACAAAGGCTGCGCACAACCGTGCACAATAGGGGACGCTCTTTCTAAAAGAACAATCCACAACTCACGATTGCTTTGTGGAATGATTGTTATTTGTTATGGTGTCTGAAAAGAGGAACATTTTCTTAAAAATCATATTTCAAGGGGAAAAATGTCGTTTTGGAAAATAGTATGGATACAGAACAATGTTTGACCATGTAAATTTGGAGCTCACTCATCAAAGGTAGTAGTAGTGTAGGATTAGTAATAATAGTATAAGTAGGAGGAGTAGTAGTAATAGTAGTAATAATAGTAAAAGTAAAGGTAGTAGTAGTAGTAGTAGTAGTAGTAGTAGTAGTATTAATTGTTGTAATAGTAGTAGAAGTAGTGAGTTAATTAACATAGATATCGCGTCAGATCAGTTGACATCATTGGCTGCTGTGTTTGAATTAATCTTGTAATCTAACATGACATTGTGAATCCCCTTAAAAAAAATTATAGCACCCCCCCCCCTCCATATTTGTTTGCTTAATCTCAGAGGAGTATGACATTTAGTGAGTACGAACAATACAAATCTATGATATATATTTGCAGAAAATAATATGAATACAATTATTCACAACAAAACAAAACTCAACAGGACAGGAATAATGATTTAAGTCATAAATGTGCCCCTTGCATTGTTTAACCCTTTGACCACTGGATTCTCACATTTACATAGGCTTAATACAGGAGCCACCCGGTTCCAGTAGGCAATGGGTTTATAACCTTTATTATAAAAGTCAACCTCCCTCCCCGCGCGGCGGTTTCAGATCTTCTTGGGTCACATCAAACTATTAATCATCAAGATAAACAAATATTTTCATCCAAGTGTTCTGTGTCTAGCTATAAGGCCTAACAAAATGATGAATTGCCCTTTAGGTGCCAACATATTGGTCGGTCGGACGGAAATCTTTTTTTTTTTTGGGGGGGGGGGGGTTAACTCCCTCTTTGAGCTGATATTTTTCAGTTTGAATGATTCAATACATTTTTTTCTCCTAAAAAAACGTTTTTTTTTTTTTTTCTTTTCTAAAGCCGACCGTCAAAGTTCAAGGTTTTTGGGTCGGTCGCAAATGGGAATTCAGCATATTTTTTAGGCCTAACCAGAAAAGAAACGGAGCAGAAGAAACAAACTAGCAAAGCTTGATAACTGTACAAAAAAATTAGGGGGGGGGGAGGGGGTGAAAATACTAAGATCTTTGCTTGATATTAAAAAAATTGTCATACTGCAAAGGCAACATAAATTTTGTATTTTGTGTTGTAAGTTGGTAGTTTATTTGATGCATTGCATGGGAGATGGTTACTCTAATACTAATTGACAAAAACCAACAGCAGAACTTTTGTTTAAAAAATAAAGCGCCTATGTGTTTAAAGCCCATCTGCACTAGTTTGACATGGAGGGATTAGACCACACTGCAAGATCACTGGCAGGTGGTTATCTCATCAAATCAGCTCTCAACTAAAGAAAAGGGGCATCATGGGGGATCAATGGGTACCGCTTAGGCATTGTTGGCTGTATAGAGGGCACAAGTAGATATAAGAAGTGCCTGATCATTCTACCAATCAGAGGCCCGGGTTTTTATAGCCGTGAATAATTGTTAGTAATATCGCTGTTAAACAGCAACTATGTTCCTGTTCTTTACATCAAAGTGGTCAAATTGCACGTAGTTATATAATATTACACATTTGACAATTATGCTTCAAGGATCTAATTGAAACGTTTCATTTTCAACTTTAATATCTGAATATAGGAGGCTCAGTGAATAATATCACAAGGAGATAAAGTGTGTTATATGCCCTATCTATGTCAATAGAATAATATCATCGTTATTTCAAATGTAAATATTCAAGCAAGGTGTTTAAACAACTTACGGTTTCACCTTTGTACCCCTTTCCCAGAAAAATGAACCTTATCCAAACAATGCACATCCATGATATATCGAAATCAACTTGGCAGCTTATGGCACCATTGCATGGTTGGTGAACGGACCCCTAGCTATTATTGATGAAGAGAAAAATAAATAACGAGAGAGATAGAGAGAGAGAGAGAGAGAGAGAATAAAGAGAGAGGGTGAGACAGAAAGAATGATAGAGATAAAGGGAGAGAAAGAGAGAGAGAGAGAGAAAGAGAGATAGAGGGGATGGAGAGAGGTAGAGAGAAAGAGAAATAGAGAAAGAGGGGAGAGATAGAGAGATATAGAGAGGGAGAGAAAGAAAGAGAGAGAGGGAGAGAGATGAAAGATAAATTGAGAGAAAGAGAAAGAGAGGGAGAGAGAAATAGAGAGAGATAGATAGAGAAAGAGAGCGGAATGAAGAGAGAAAGATAGCGAAGGACAGAAAGGGGAGGCTTTAGTGCACGAAACCGACAGCAATACAACTATTTTTTCTTTGTTACGTCGGTCTTGTGGACCTTTTCGAATTGTATCTTGTTTTAGATTTCTCATGCATTTCTTTATTTGTATCGGCCTTGTTGTTGTTGTTGTTGTGATCAATGGCGTTTCCATCGTCATTGGATGATTTTCGCTCGTGGGCCGTTTGTCTAATTTAAATGAGCCTAAGAGTAACATAGAAAAGGAACGGGGAAGGCAATGTAAACAGAAAGTGATTGCAACCGTTCCACACGGCCACCCCACTTGTCAGCGTTGTTTTTATTCCCATGTTAAAGTCCGCCACACTATCCCATCCCGCCTGCCATGACGTTAGCACCCCCTCATTTTATGGAATCGTGCTACCCCATGCACGCAACCGATGTACTATCTAAGTGCAGTTCTACAATTAACCTTTGAGCTACATGATGGGACACGTACATTGCAACATTAACAGTAGCAACTTTTGTCGTATAGGTGTAGGTTCGAATCTCCCGAGCTAAGCTCCTTAAACAAAATGGCGGAAAATGTCTTATCCTGGATCTTAGACAAGGGTGCCAGTATCCTGTCAGACGACAAAGAAGACAAGTCCGACGTCTTACTAAACGCAATTAAAGATGGCGACCTCAACATTGTTACTATACTCATCGGCGTTGTTTCAGACATGAACAAAATGAAATTTGAAGGAGAGTCGCTTCTGAGCGTAGCAGTTTCCAGTGGACACGCTAGTATAGTAAAACTCGTTGTCAGCAAAGGAGCAGATGTTGAGGGCATTGATGATGATGGTCTGACGCCGTTGCATGTAGCTTGCAGAGAGGGTCATCTCGAGATTGTTCAGTTTCTCTTCGCTAAAGGAGGGGATATCAATCGACAAACCTTCGACGGGATGACCCCACTTGCAATGGCGACCAAACGAGGCCATGTTGAGGTTCTGAAGTACCTTATCAGCAAAGGTGTGGAGATTGAGAGGTCCGACAAAAAAGGCTGCCCACCACTCATCTGGGCGTGTTGCCGAGGGCATCTATCCACGGTTAACTATCTCCTTCATGTGGGTGCAGATGTCAATGCCGCCGAAAAACGCGGCTGGACAGCCCTGCATTTTTCCATCTATTACGATAGTCTTGATGTCATCAAGAGTCTTTTATCTGCAGGAGCTGATCTCAACTGGTTAGATAAAGACGGGACAACGCCACTTCATGTTGCCTGCTACAACTATCGCACTCAAATTCTGAAGTATCTGCTGAGCAAAGGAGCTGATCTTCAGAAGGCAGAGCTTGATGGTACAACTTCACTTCATTCCGGGTCTGCTAAAGGACATTATAATGTTGTCAGTATCATCTTACAGCAAAAAGAGGTAGTGTATACAAACTGGGCTCTTTAGATATTTCCATGCAAAAGTTAATGTCAAAAGTATTTCTATTTTCTGGATTTTTATTTTCATTTTTAAATCACAGGTTGACCCTCACCCTAAATTGTTTTTACGTGATTTTCCTTTCTCTTTACACCTTAGACAGATGCTCATTTTAGAGAAAAAAGAGAGAAGTTTGATGATTGTGAAGCACTAACTGCTTCCTTTATCAACCAGAATTCATTCTCTCATCTATCAATAGTCTGACTTTAAACAAGTTATTTACAGTTGGAAATATACTTTTATAGTAATCCTAAATGAAGAAATTTACAGTAGTGGGGGAGTTAGAAGTCTCTTTCAGTAGATCAAACTTGATGCATTATATTTAAAAGGTATCGTTCCTATTTTCTTGACCATTGCAATTCTGTACAGGGTGGAGAGCTCGTGAACAGACCAGATGCAAGAGGTGAAACACCCCTTCATGTCGCCACCTCTAATGGATTCACGTCGATCATTGATATCCTTGTTTCTCGAGGAGGAAGTCACCAAAGAACTTTCAAAGGTACGATGATATCAAAACTACAAGAACTTTGACTACTTGCCGAAGAATGGCGTGATACTTCTTCAGAATGGTCATGTATCGATCATAATGTTTCAAGTATTACCCTAAAGTGTTCTTATGAATAGAATTTATCTTCATAATTTCGGTGCAGTTGTAGCGATGGCAGTTGTTAAGTAAGGCCTATTATAGCTGGCTTTTCGTGTTCATTTCATAAAATGAAATCAGATAAAAAAAACGGGGATGTACAGATTATCTTGCCAAACAATTTTCAATTTCTCCAATATCTTTTTCTTCCTTTACCTTGGTCCTTCCTTTTCTGTTTCTCTCGCTCTCTCTCTATTTAAATTGGTTTGTTTAAGTGGAAGCACCGGCGTGAACTGGTTAAGGATCCTGGCAGGTCCGAGGTTCGGTCCTTGCTCGGTGCGCTTACATGGTGTTGTCCCCACACTACTTCCTCTCCACCCAGTTTTACATTGCAATGCTGGAGCAATGTTAATTGCAGGTCCCCAGGAATAACAACAATTAAATTTTTTATTGATCTAATTCTATTCATTTCTTTAGCTGATGGCTGTACATTCGAAGGATGCCCTTGGGCCAGCCCAGGCCCTGGTCAAACATTTGATTGGGAAGGGCGCCGACGTCAACATAGCCGACAAGGCTGAAAAGAATCCACTTGAATATCTCTCACTCGAGATGGCAAATTTAATGATCAGGTACATAGAGACATTTTTTCAAAATCTCGTTCATCAAGTGATTATAAACAGATTTATCTTAAGTACCACCTCTTTTCCTTTCACACACATTTCTCATGAATGATATGAGGTCCAAAAAAAAAAGTTTTCAAGAATAAACACTCAATTACTTTGTATACTATTAATCATTTACTTTATAATTTCGTGAGAATAAACGATACAGTATGTATGCGCAATGCCAATGATTTTCCTTTGCCAGATGGCATTTACCATGGGATCGCTTTACCATAGGGTTCAAAATTATTCATGTTTTCATTGTAATATCAATCTATATAGGTCTATGTGTTAAGAATATGTTTATGCTTCTCAAGATCAGAAATGGATAACTCTAACAAGCTTTGGTGTCGCACATAGCAACCCTTCTGGGTCTTTATATGCTGATCTGGGCCCCGTCTTACAAAGAGTTGCGACTGATCCAAATCAATCGCAAGTCCTTCAATCAATCGCAAGTTTGAAGTCTCGTATCTCTGATGTACATAGTTGCGATTGATATCAACCCTTTGTGAGAAAGAGCTCTGCTCTCACATCGGCATTTGTGGCAAAGGAAAAGTTACTGTCGATGTATCTAGTTTCTTTTGTATTGCTCTTACTACAGTAAAGAGCCAACAGAGAGCCATGCACTCGGAGGACGCCAACTTGGAGGTGCTTCAAATGATGCTGACGGCAGAGAAGATAGCAAGGTAGATTCGAAAACCCATCTTTTAGAATCGCCATCTCCTACCTCCGAAGAGATCCTACACCACTTGGCCGAAAGAATCCCAAATGACAAAGTCATGACTTTGGGTCTAAAATTAAAGCTCGACCGTGCCACGATTGCCCGCTACGAATATACGAACGTTAAGGGTACCATAGTAACTTCCAAAGGTACCCAAGAAATGTTGTATGATTGGTTTAATGCCACGAGAAGCGCAGAAGCGTTCCCGATACTCAGAAAAGCACTTGAGAAATCGGAGCTGGTGAGACTGGCAGAGAAATATATGTAGCATTTTGAATCATGCTGCACTAAAACCGAGATTTATGCAGAACATATATACCAATAGTTCATGTTTGCGAGTGCATCAGAGAATATGCACTGCACGCAGGTTAAGGTTATTGCAAAATTGATTGGATAGTTAGTAATTCTTTGATTTAAAAAAATATATATTTGGATGCCCCTGTGGATGTATTATACGCACCAAAAATGTTAGCACCTAAAGAAATTCTGCTTTCTAGAAATTGAATGATCAACAATTTACCGTGCTCCCGGTAAATTTATAATATTTCATATAGCGTCTAAGGCCATTCCATGGTAGCTGCGACTATGAAAATCTCAGAATATGCAATTCTTATATGAAGTTTCCAACCGGGAGTGGCAAATCGGTCGATTGTAGTCAATAAACATTGTTTTAAAGCTTAAGTAATATCAGTCTTAAGAGGGAGCTATACAACATAAAGAGTTTATTTTACAACTTACAATTTCATCACAATCATTGAATATTGTAAAATCGCATATCTTTCCAATATGTTCATTTAAACCAAATTAATGATCCCATATCAAAACTTTGTATTACCTTTAAGTCACAATCATAATGAACGAGGTGTGTCGTGTTCATTCCGGCTCAATTAGTCTACCGAGTGCGGTGCATAATCGCTGATGCACGAGCTTCACACCATTAAGTATTTGTTTTATACAAACAGTTTGACAATAATATTAAAGTCGAGGAGTAAGCACCAAACCCGATCAGAATGCAAAGTGCTGCACGGTCTTGGAGACCGCCTTTTTCTTTTTTGAAGAATATCACAAAAGCGCAGCCTAACAGTACAATGCTTGTCTCATTGTCTATGCCATTTGAAACTGCATACGCGCATCTTAACCGTGTATTATCTCTCCTAGCCGTGGGTTATCACATTTTTCAAGAAAGATTGGTGCACGGTCACGTGTTGTCATTTGGCCAGTTACATTCTAGAATACGTGTCTATAAACGTAAATAAAGACACTTCGCACAATATGTACAACGTATCAGCAAAAGGATATCACCAATAACAATTGTGGTGTTAGGCCTTGCCGCTTTATAATATGTTTCATTTGTACCAACACAAAATTACGAAGAGTAATATTTTAATGTCCTGTAACCCCGTATGACCCTAAATGAATTTTAATCGAAGATTATGATAAACTATGCATAATGAGAAGTTCTTCTCATTGCAACCTTACATACGTTAATTGTGAACATCGAATGAGCTTTATAGAACACCTATTACCTATCATTTAAAACTATACGTAATCAACTAGCTAGTTATATGTTTTTCAGCAGTTCCTAAATGTGCTTCTTAATTATAGCATTTCTGTATAAATTCGGACAATGTAAGAAAGTAAATGTGTTGTTTTCAATGGCGTAGTATCAGTGGATACTGGTGCACCCCCCCCCCTATCGAGTGATGACGATTTTTTTTCTTTCTTTAAAAAGGGGGAGAAAAGAGATAAAGAGATGGGAGAATGGGGACAACTTCCCGAACCGCCCGCGGTTCAGCAGCCTTGCACTCAGAGCAAGACCGGTGCCCGTTCCCCTACCCCATCGTTCCAATGGCCCCTACATGGGAAAATTCACGCTACTCCACTGGTTGTTTCAACGAATCAAACCCTTTTTACCCCAGTGTAATGCCAGGTTGGAAAGAAGGGCCATTTGGGGAAATTACAAATGTTATAATTGCTATCTTGTCACATTATCCAGTTCATCTTCAGGCACAGACTGTCACCTGACACTAAGAAATAATCCAGTGAAGTCTTGAGCTGATTCTAATTCTGTCAGTTTGTGGTTGTGATAGGAGCAGCTACAGTATATGGCCTATTGATTGTGGTCCCTGTGTAGTATCCTTGATCAGACCCAATGCATTACGACTGACTAGGATTTGGGGTTGGGATTGAAAAATAAATGAAAGTTATGAAAGGAAGTATACTTTATCTATCAAGAAAAAACGTTATCGTAACAACTATTTCATGAAAACATGTAAGCAAAATTATTCTAACTTTAACGGCAGAATTTTAATGAAAAAACTCTTGTATATAGATTTTGTTGTACCGATATGGTATTATAAAATCATTGTTTTCGTCCTTGGCTTACTAGATGTTTATTCCAACACACATATCTGTCACAATTGCCAATTTTTAGAGGTAAAACAAATATCTTTGTTTTACATTGCATAGAACATTTTAATTCTTTTAGTTGTTAATGAAAGATAGATATTTGTCATACAGGGGTCGTGTAAAAACATAAATGTATGTGCAAAGATTGTGTCTCTCGTGCATGTTTCATTCAGAAAAATTCTTTAGACAATAATTGTAGATTTTTTTCAGATTTGTGTAAGTACAAAGCAAATAGGAGGTGACCAAGCAAAATACATCACAATGTTGTCCATGATTGCAAATGTAAAAATGTATAACTTTTCTGTTGGTATCATTTATTATATCGGATTTTTATAAATAAACGTCGACTGATCTGTTTCTCCACTTTCTCTTTTCCTACCACAGCTAACTTAGGGTGAAATTTTTTCTTTAGTGTGCATAGATAGAGAGAGAGAGAGAGAGAGAGAGCGATAAAATAGTATAAAAAGAAAGTGTAGTTTGCTACTTATGTTAACCCATTTACCGTTAAAAAAAAATGAAAATTAACAATGAACTAAAGAGTGACGACAATGTTTACAAATATTTAAAAGCAAAATTTAATAATTCTATAAGTAACCTTTTATAATCAAACATTATAGTCGCCTGTAAGTCATGATAAATCGTTATGAAGCAAAAGAAATTATACAAATAGGTCATGCAATAATTCCTAAGTATAAACTTTGTAAAAGCAAAAGTAAAACACTTTTACAAAAAATACAAAAATGGGCACCCGATATGCTATACAGCGCTACAGATTTGACCGCTTAGATATGACTGGGGTAATAATGATGGAGCGCTGGAAGTGTCACGGCGTGATTAACATGAACGCTATTATCATTATTATCATTAGTATTATTACTATTATTATCATTAGTATTTTTATCATTATTATTATTGTTATTACCATTATAATTTTTCTCTAAGTTAAACTAACCAGATTGAAGTTTAACTTGTACATGGTCATTCATACAAATATTTATATGAAATATTTACAAAGATAAATGTACAAAGTTAATTTCCATAGAAAAAGGGGGGTTCGATTCCGGTTTAGGGGCGTCCCTTATATGTTTTACTTAACACATCATGAATACCAGAACTAATGCAACCCCTTCATGTAGGGATATATGCCCCAGTAAAACAAGTTCAAAATGTTGCATAAACAAAGAAAGAAAAAAAAAAGCAAACATGTTAATGAGGTTTTCACGAAACCATTCTTATCAGTGCAAGTTCGCGGACAAGACATTGAAATGCGTTTTAAATTTGATACACGTTTCAATAGGATGTCGGTAATGTTGTACTTGCGACTATCTCGCTAAACGACACCAGGGTGCATGTTGTATATTTCACTCATTAACAGATGAGAAACGAGAAACTAATGACAAACTTGTATGCCATTGTCCGACCATTCGCCGACGGAAATGGCGATCAGCATTGGGTCTTGCACTATTTAAATATTTGGCAACTTTCACAGGAAGCCCAAGATCCCGAGGCCAATATGGCCATCACTTAGACAAATTATTATTATGGCTAATTACTCTCGCTCGGAAGAACAAGTAGGCCTAATCAAACAAATGTCAATCAGACAAAACTTCGGAAAACCAAGCACGTTTGAATACGCCGAAAACGCCATATAACGCACGATGAACATCGAACCCCCAACGATAAAGATGAGGCAATGTGTACACAAAAAAGGCTTCTGGAAAATCTTGGAAGGTCAACCTGTTGTTGATACAGGCCCCGTGGGACAAAAAAGTCTTGAATTTCCTTAAATTATATGTCATATAAATAACTAATTGACAAACATTTCAAGTAAATATATCCACATCATTTTTGATATGTTCAACAACAGGGCGAGAATGCAAGATTAATCCCATTCCTTGCTTTTAACGACTGAGGGCTTTATCGTTCATCGATCGTTACATGCCATTTTCGGCGTATTTACCAGCGCTCGGTTTTACAAAATTGTGTCTTACTGAATTGGTTTGGTACATGTTTAATGGTTTAAAATGTTGTGCACGAGGTGTAAGGCTTTCTCGAAGTCCGAACAAATCACTGACGTAATCTGCATGGATCTTGACTATTCTGTACCTCGATGCAAGGTTCATCTAACCACATCCACTCATACGTTGATCTTGGGACTACACTTATTATCGCCTTGCATGAGGAGCAAGATGGCGGCCGAGTAACCTCATGTTCATTGACGAATAAGCCTATCCTTGATAAAGGAGTTCAGTCCACACGATCTCAACTTCTTTCAGAAAAATCAACCCAAGGCAACTCCGATAGCCTTGTGCGTTACCTAGCGAATAAGACAATGCGACATTAACTATTATTTAACCAGGAGGTGTTTCACAAAGATCCTAAGTCAAACTTAACTCTAAGTTGGACTTACAAATTATGGAGAGCCATTTGTAGCCTTAAAATTAATATATTAAAAAGTGAAATTTCAAGTATTTTAGACATTTTATAAATTCCACATCAAGAACAAGAAATCTCCCAAGATAATAAAAAAATATGAAAGATTTGAATCAACATGTTATGC